CCATGTTTATGAATTAGAAGACTAAATACTACTAAAGTGTCCATACTGCCCACAGTGATCTAGAGATTAGATACAATGTCCATCAAAATATTAAGAAAATTTTTGACAGAACTAACAACAAAAACAAACCTACAGAAGCACAAAAGACCCTGAATAGCCAAAGAAATCTTTAGCAAAGAGAGGAAAGCTGGAGGTAGCACAATACCTGATAGTTCAAGACATACAGAGGAATAGTTACAAGAATGGCATGGTTTCAGCATAAAAATAGACACATGGACTAATGGAAAACCATAGAGAACCCAGAAATGAATCTACATCTCTACAATCAATTGATTATCAGCAAAGGTACTAAAAACACACATTGGAGAGAGGACAGCAAATACTGCTGATGACAACTGGTGTGGGAAAACTAGATATTCACAGCAGAATAGTAAATTTTGACCTTTATCCCTCACCCTGTACATATACCAACTCAAAATGGATCAAAGACCCAAATCTCCAAAACTGCTAGGGAAACACAGGGAAAACACTGAAAGTTATTGGTATTGGTTATGATTTTTCTCAATAGGACTGTAAAAGCAAAAGAAATACAAGCAAAAATCAACAAATGGGTTTACATTAAACTAACAAGCTTCTGCACAGCAAAGAAAAAAAAAATCAACAGAGTCAAGAGACGACCTGCAGGATGAGAGAAAATATTTGCCAGGTATTCATCTAACCCAGTTAGTATCCAGAATATTTAAAGAACTCAAAAAAAAAAAAACCTCCACAACAATAAAACAAATAACTAATTACAAATTGGGCAACTAATCTAAATAGACAATTCTCAAGAGAGGAAATATAAATGATCAATAAATATGTGAAAAAATGTTCAGTACCTTTAATCATCATGAAAATGCAAATCAAAACTACTATGAGCTATCATTTCATCCCCCTTAGAAAGGCTATGACCAAGAAAGACAAAATATAACAAATGATAGTAAGAATGTGGAGAAGAAGACACCCTATATGCTTTTGGTGGGAATGTAAATCAGTATAGCCACTATAGAAACTAGTAGGAAACTAGTAGGAGTTTCCTCAGAAAACTAAAAGTAGAACTACCATATGATCTATTTATTTCACTCCTGGTTGTACATCCAAAGGAAAAGAAGTTGGCATAGAGAAGAGATACCTGTATGCCTGTTCAAATAGGTAACGTATGGAATTAGCTTAGATGCCCATTAAAAGACAAATGGCTAAAGCAAATATTATATATATATATACACATACATATATATATAATATATATACATAATGGAATATTATTCATCCATAAAGCAAAAATAAATTCTGTCTTTTTCAGCAAAATGAATGAAACTGGAGGATACTGTGTTAAATGAAAGAATCCAGACACCAAAAAGACAAGATTCATGTATTCTTTCTCATATGTGGAAAGAAGGAGGAATAGGAGAAGGAAAAGGGAAAAGGAACAAGGAGGAGGAGGAGGAGGAGGAGAAGGAG